TTATGAGCCAGAGTCTTACTCTGTCACTCAGGCTGGAGTGCAGTGGCACAATCTCGGTTCACTGCATCCCTCCAGGTTCAAGCAATTCTCCTACCTCAGCCTCCCGAGTAGCTGGGATTACAGGCATGCACCATCACACTCAGCTAATTTTTGTATTTTTAGTAGAGATGGGGTTTCATCTGTTGGCCAGGCTGGTCTTGAACTCCTGACTTTATGATCCGCCCACTTCAGCCTCCCAAAGTGCTGGGATTATAGGCGTGAGCCACCGCAACCGGCTGGCATCTGAATGTTTAAAAGCTCCACTAGTAATTCTATGAGGATTGAAAACCACTGGTGTGGCCGGTAGCGGTGGCTCATGCTTGTATTCCCTCCCACTTTGGGAGGCCGAGGCAAGAGGATAGTTTTAGCCCAGGAGTTTAAGACCAGTCTGGGCAATATAGTGAGACCTTGTCTCTACAAAAAGATTACAAAATTAGCAGAGCATGGTGGCACATACCTGTGGTTCCAGCCACTTCGGAGGGTGAAGTGGGAGGATCATTTAAGCCCAGGAGGCAGAGGCTGCAGTGAGGTGAGATTGTGCCACTGCACTCCAGCCTGGGTGACAGAGCGAGACGACATCTTTGAAGAGAAAATAAAACTATTGGTATAAGGAATATAAGGTAAGCTTCCTCCTAACCAGTCTGAGGGGCCTGAACTTCATGCCTACACATGAGTGCCTGTGGGTTGTGTTAAGCTTTCAGCCTTCTAGAGTAACCAGGGAAAAGACACCTGAGGAGTGGAGGCGGCCCAGGCTTGCCTAATTTTGGTAAAGGAGATCGAGAGCAACAGATAGAATGAGAGAGACAGAGACAGAGAGGCAGGCAAAAGTCCTGGACAGAGCTACTTGCCTAAAACGGACGGCGTGTAGGTGGATACAGCAGTGAGAATCCTGGTCACCACCAGGACCATGACACACACCTGAGAGGCTGGAGGAAAAGGCTCCCTCAAAGGTGCTCGGCACCCACTGTGCTGGAAACAACCATTTACTCAACACATAGATTTTCTTGTTGTTGTTGTTGAGGCGGAGTCTCCCCCATGGCCCAGTCTGGAGTACAATGGAGCAATCTAGGCTCACTGCAATCTCCACCTCCTGGGTTCAAGCGATTCTCCTGCCTCAGCCTCCCGAACAGCTGGGATTACAGGCACTCGCCACGATGCCGGGCTAATTTTTGCATTTTTAATAGAGACAGGGTCTCACCATGTTGGTCAGGCTGGTCTCAAACTCCTGACCTTGTGATCCACCCACCTCAGCCTCTCAGAATGCTAGGATTACAGGTGTAAGCTATCGTGCCTGGTCGTTTTTTTGTTTGTTTGTTTTTGTTTCTGAGACAGAGTCTTGACAGGGTCTTGCTCTGTCGTCAGGTTGGAGTGCAGTGACATGATCTCAGCTCACTGCAACCTCTGCCTCCTGGGTTGCAGAGATTCTCCTGCCTCAGCCTCCCGAGTAGCTGGGACTAAGTTTAGCGCACCACCATGCCCAGCTAATTTTTTGTATTTTAGTAGAGACGGGGTTTCACCATGCTGGCTAGGATGGTCTTGATCTCCTGACTTTGTGATCCATCCACCTCAGCCTTCCAAACTGCTGAGATTACAAGCGTGAACCACCACACCCACCATTTTTTTGTTTGTTTGTTTGTTTGAGACTGAATACCACTCTTGTCACCCAGGCTGGAGTATAATGGCATGATCTCGGCTCACTGCAACCTCTACCTTCCAGGTTCAAGCAATTCTCCTGCCTCAGCCTCCCAAGTAGCTGGAATGACAAGGGGCCTGCCACCACGCCCACCTAATTTTTTTGTATTTTTAGTAGAGACGGGGTTTCACCACGTTGGCCAGGCTGTCTCGAACTCCTGACCTCAGGTGACCCACCCACCTCAGCCTCCCAAAGTTTTGGGATTACAGGCATAAGTGACCATGCCCGCCCCCAACACATAGATTTTGAAGGTCGACTTTGCACTAGACAATATGCTAGCTTATATCCTGGAAGAACAATAGAAATGCACCTCGATATCTAAGTTTGTATATATGCATATACAATTCATGTGCAATTATATACATATAACACAAGGCATAATATGTAATGAGAGGTAGAAATAAAAGATATCAAGAAAAGAGAGAGGCCAATTGTACTTTGCAGAAAACACTGATGAATGAATACATGAATGGATTCCGGAAATCCAGCAAAACACCCTCAGTATAAGGAAACTGAACAATACCAAAGGATGCATTGAATTATTTTCCACTTCGTTGGAAATCTATTTGCTTGAAGACACTGAAGTGTATTAATGCTTGTATTAAAAGGAAATTACTGATTACTTATTGTGAAGTCATATATTACCTTACAGGATGCTGAAACCCAAAGGCTCCCTTTGATCCAAAAGCGTGTTGGTCAGCCCTAGCTGCAAGCTGTAACGACAGACACATACAAACACAGACAGTGCAGGAGCATCGGAAGGTGACATCCTGAGGTTTTAAACCATAGAACCTAGGTCATCTGCAATTGTTCACATCAATAGCAACTTTAGAGAGTTTAGACACCTTAGCAGTATTTCACAAGCCTGTTCCTGTCACTGCGGCCCAAAATGTCCCAGGCGCTGTGAAGAATTCAGATGGAAGGGGTCAGACGCAGTGCCTCCGTCCAGCATTTTACAGGCTCATGGACAGAGACGCACATGTATGCAAACAACCATGCTACCAAGCACTGCACGGTGAGACGCCCATGATTCTAAGTGTGACAGAAGGTCAGGAGCGGGTTCATGGAGGGCCTCACAGAGACATCTGCAGCATGTGGGTTTGCAATTCTAAGACTATTTTGGTAGAGGAGAGCATCCAATTCAGAGCGACAGGACCAGGC